GAAAAATAATGTAATAAATACTAGAGACTGTTTTCAAAGCTACCCTTTTTTTCTGGCTTCCTTCTAAGCTTTTTTTTTTGTTCTCTGCTGTGCACTTTTTTTTTCCTCTCCCCCTCCCCACTTCGCCCTAGAGAAAGCTACCATTAGACACTAAATATGTATATGTATGCAAAATCATACTTCTATTTATCAGTTCTTTCTCTAGGTGTTGATAGCATCTTCCTTCATAGGTCCTTTGTAGTTGATTTGAGTATTTATAATACTCAAAATGACTTAGTTGGTCAAAGTTGTTCTAAATGTCTTATTACATGGAAAAGTAAGCTCTGAGTTTTATTATTCATCTTCTTCTGTGTAGGTATGCTCCACTTGGTATCCTCTTCTTGATTGCTGGAAAAATTGTTGAGATGGAGGACATGGGAGTGATTGGTGGGCAGCTGGCCATGTACACCATCACCGTCATCATCGGATTGCTCATTCATGCAGTGATCGTCCTCCCACTTCTCTACTTCTTGGTAACTCGAAAAAATCCTTGGGTTTTTATTGGAGGCTTACTACAGGCGCTCATCACAGCTGTGGGGACATCCTCCAGGTACCTGGACCTTCCCTGGCGTTATTCCTATTCTAATTAAATCCGAGAGGCAGTGCTGGTGTGGTTGGTCATGGAAAGGTCACTGGCCTGGGGGATAGATGACCAGAGACCATCTCAATAATCCTGTGACCTGGGCCAGAGTATTTAATTGCACCAAGCTTCACTTTCCTCATCTATAAAACAGGAATGATAAGGTTATTATGGGATCTGATGAGATAATATATGTGAAAGCCCTTAGAAAAAAAATAAAGCCTTATACAGATGAGATGCATTATTATTATATCATTTTATCTTATTTTTATTAGCATCTTTTGTTTTTTACACCTTCGTTTTCAAATACGCCCCTCCCCAGCTATCACTTATTAAAAAGAAAGAGAAAAAAAGTTATTTTAGTAAAAAAAAAAGGAACATATTATGCCTGCCTGACAGCACATGCAGTATTCCACAGCCCCCCACAAACACACACATGTACCCATCTCTGCATAAAATGTGCATTTTTCTCAACTTTTCCCTAGAGTCAACTTTGATCATTATCATTGCACAGAGTTAAGTTTCACTAAGTATTATTATTATTAAAATTCATCATGGATTTTATTTTTAATAATATTTTATTTTTTCCAATTACATGTAAAGAAAGTTTTCAACATTCACTTTTATAATATTTTGAGTTCCAAACTTTTTCTCCCTCCCTCCTTCCCCTCCCCCTTCCCTAAGATGGCAAGCAATCTGATATAGGTTATATATGTATAATTGTATTAAACATATTTCTACATTAGTCATGTTGTGAAAGAAGAATCAGAACAAAAGAAAAAAAAAGTGAAAATAGTATGCTTCAATCTGCATTCAGACTCCATAGTTCTTTCTCTGGATGTGGATAGCTTTTTCTATCATGAGTCTTTTGGAATTGTCTTAGATCATTGTATTGCTGAGAAAAGCCACACCTATCAAAGTCGATCATCACACGATGTTTGCATTTTATTTTAAGAAATGGCCGTTAGCTTGATATGGCAAGAAATTTTGTTTTGTTTTGTTTTTTTAATTTTAACTTTCAGGAATATGAATTGATTTAATTGTTTCTGTGATAACATCATTCCCATTTGCATTTAGCTGGGTGGTAGAAATCTGTCTTCTTTGGCCTGGAGGAAAGATGAGCTGCCTTCTCCTACCCTCTGTTCTCTATATCTTCCAAGTTTACATGTGAAGGAAGAATAATTATCTTCTCCCCAAAGTGACCCCTTGCAGAGAAAGTCATCTATGGCCTAGCTGATGGAAGGGACATACATGTAAGGATCCCTGAGCAGCCATTTTACTAATGACAGGGAATACCTACTCCTCTATTTAAAGGGAGACAACAGAGCTGATTACTTTGTTACTAGCAAGAGTACCTGGCAGAAGAATCCTCTGTCTTAGTAATATAAATGTCACATCCCAAATAATGCACATGTTTCTGGTCTTAACCCTGTTTAACTGTCTTTCAGTTCTGCTACCCTTCCCATCACTTTTAAGTGCCTGGAAGAGAACAATGGAGTGGACAAACGTGTGACCAGATTTGTTCTACCAGTGGGTGCCACCATCAACATGGATGGGACTGCTCTGTATGAGGCCCTTGCCGCCATCTTCATTGCTCAAGTTAATAACTTTGAACTGAACTTTGGACAGATTATTACTATCAGGTAATTATGTATGTATATACATACACATATGTGTGTGTATATTTGTGCACTATTTTCCTTAAGAATGGCTTTAAAAGATTGGAACAAGAACTAAGGTTTGAGCAATTAGAGGAAGAAAGAAAAAGATAGCAGATGTCACAAAAAACAAAACTTGTTTACTGGTTAATTTTTTTTTTTGATGAGGCATTTGAGATTAAGTGACTCGCCTAGGGTCACACAGCTAGTGTCAAGTGTCTGAGGTCGGATTTGAACTCAGGTCCTCCTGGTTCCAGGGCCAGTGCTCTATCCACTACACCACCTAGCTGCCCCTACTGGTTAAATTTTTTAAAAGTTTTTGCTGTTGTTGCTGTGTTAATTTAGTTGTGTCTGACTCTTCATGACCCCATTTGGGATTTTCTTAGCAAAGATATTGGAGCTTTTTGCCATTTTCTTCTCCAGCTCTTTTTTCAGATGAGGAACTGAGGCAAACAGGGTTAAGTGACTTGCCCAGGATCATACAGATAGTAAGTATTTGAGATCAAATTTGAACTCAGGACCTCCTGACTCCAGGACTGAAACTCTATCCTCTGTGCCATTTACTTTTTTGTTATTCTGAACTTTTCTAACTTTAACAAACATGAACATTGCTATATACAAATAATAGAAAAGAGGATTACATATGAAATATATAAATATATAATACATTTAACATGTTAATTTCAAAAGTTGTTCTGTTTAGGAACTAGGTGGCACAGTGGACAGAGACCACTGGAACTGTAGTCAGGAAGACTTGAATTCAAACCTAGCCTCAGGTACTTACTGACCCTGAGCAAGTCCCATGCCTCAACTTTCTCAACTGTAAATGAGGATAATAATAACACCTACCTCCAAGGGTTGTTGTAAGGCTCAAATGAGATAATTTGTAAATCATTGAATGCATTGCCTGGAACATAGTAGGTGCTTAATAAATGTTCCCTTTCTTTTTGTGTCTCCATCTAAACTTCCTTGTGATCTCTTCTGTGCATTTTTTAAAAAAAGCTTCAGGAGGACTCCTTTCTTTTCTTTTTGTTAGCTTCGCTATCACTAGTACCCATTCCCTCTCACCAGTCCTCCACCCTCCTTCACCCAAATTAATTAATTAATTAATTAAATTGTTTAAACCTTCCTTTATTACAAATGTGCGTAGTTAAGCAAAACAAATTTTGTCTTTGACCATGCCCAAAAAATATATCTCATTCTACATCCTGAGTACATCACCTCTCTGTCAGGAAATGAGTAACATGCTTTATCATAGGTTCTCTAGAGTCATGGCTGTTCATTACATTGACCTGAGTTCTTAAGTCTTTCAGAGACTTTTTTCTTTATAATATTGTAGTCATCATATATTCTCTTGATTCTGCTCACTTCATTATGTTTTATTTCATACAAATCTTCCCAAATTTCTCTGAATCCATCCCTTTCATCATTTTTATGACACAATAATATTCTATTACATTCATAATTTTCAGCTGTTCCTCAATTGATGAATACTACATTTTGTTTTGAAGTTTTTGCTCCAACGAAAAGTGCTGCTATGAATGTTTATATATATATATAATATAATATATATATATATATATATACATATATGAGTCCTTTCCCTCTTTCCTTTATCTATTTGAGATACAGGCCTCACAGTGGTATTGCTAGGTTAAAGGGAAAGTACCATTTTGTTACTTTTGGCATATAGTTCCAAATTGTTTTCCAGAATGGCTAGACCAATTTATAGCTTCATAAACACTGCATTAGCAGGCTTTTCCTCCCAGATGCCTCCAACTATCGTCATTTTTAATTTTTATCATCTTTGCCAATCTACAATGGCTGTGAGGTAGAACCTCATATGTTTTCATTTAATTTTCATTTTCTTTATTATAAGTAATCAGAGCAGTTTTCCCCCCTTTTCTAGAAGAGGACATGGTTGTATTTTAAGATTTTGCTTTGGAAAAAAAATACACAAAATGAAAAGGATGGCAGTTCAATAGCACCAAATTAAATTCAACACATTAATGAGATCAAATAATATTCATAAATTAAGGAAACTCAAAGATAAATCTGGCAAATGAAGACCTTCAATAACTAACTCAGAATAACATACCGTATTAACCGGCACAATAAACAGTGTTGCTAATTGCAGAGAATGCTGTTAATGGGTACATGGGATCTTTAAATTTAATAGGTTGGACAACGCTGGATTAAGGATTAACATTTAGTTCTCAAAATTACACAAAAGGCCCCCAACTCTCTCCCCCAAAACATTTGTAGCCACTTAAATTGTGAATGGTTTACCAACAATAAAAAGAGTGAAAAAACCTTTAAAAATTAAGTTTCAATAAATACATCAACAGTTTAAAATCTAGCTAAGGCTATCACGCAAGACATTTCATAACCAAGACCAACTCAGTTTTATAATAAAGGCAACTTGCCTTCAAAATGAACTCCACCCTCGTATTTTATTTAAAAAAAAAAAGCAAACATGATGAATTAACCCAGCTGCTTACTTGAATTATACAAAAGTAGCATGATTCAAAATGAAAATAAGAAACCATCTGCAAATCTCCAACAGTAATAAATCACAATATACAATGCATACAGGAGTCATACAGAGCAACAAACTCTTGTACAAAACAAAAATATTTTAATACCCTTAAAATCTACATTTTTTTCATTGAAATCATTCATGAAAAAAGATTCTCCAGTTGGAATTCAGACTTTAATTAGTCAAGCATCAGGGAAGCTAGATTACTATTTACAGAGAGATATTTCTCTTCCCCAATCACTATACTGTCATGTCTCTGCTTCTTTCCCATCTCATTATGTTCCCCATTCCAACTTTTCTTCAGATCTTGAGAACTGAATCTGTTGAACAACAGAAATCTGTTGATATGATGTTGTATAAACCATAGCATTTTGTCATTGGCCATCTGTATTATTAAACCAGCTGGTAACTGATCTTCTTGAATGAACTCCTCACTCAGTCCATCTGTGGTTGTATGGGGCAGTTTTTCACATGGTCATTGATAGCTTGGATTAGAAGCAGTTGAGGTGGTACAGTGGATAGAACACTGGGCCTGGAGTCAGGAAGACCTAAGTTCAAATCCAGCCTCGGATACTTACTAGTTGTGTGACCCTGGGCAAGTCATTTCACCTGTTTGCCTGAATTTCCTCATTTGTAAAATGGGGATAACAATAGCACCTACCTCCCAGTGTTGTGGCAAGGATCAAATGAGAAAATATTTGTCAAGAGCGTACCCAGTGCCTGGCATATAGTAGGTGCTTAATAAATGCTTGTTTCCTTCCTTCCCTTGAGAGTTGCCTGTTCATATCCTTCGATCATTTCTCCATTGAGGAAGGTTGTTGATTTTGATAATCAGACATTATCAGAATTGGGTTGGCTCATTCCTCAAAGTTATTCCTGAGACATTGCCTAGTATTAGACCAGATAATCTCACATTTATTTATTTATTTTTTAATCCAGACCTATGATTTTCATACAGGTATGGAACCTCCAGAGTAGAAACTTCCTAGATAAATTCAGGGTAGGCTCAGACCCCTAAAAAGTTGGACGCTTTGTCCATGGGGTTTTGTGTCAGAGATGGAACTTGAACTCAGGTATTCCAGACTCCAAATGTACTCCTCTCTACTAGTTTACAAAAATTGGTATGTGTATACCCTGGTGCCAACCTGAAATCAAAAAGCTCTGCCTGATTTTTGGAATGTCATCTCTGTTCGTATCACTCCTACGAAAAAGACAGGATAGCTATCACCTAATCAAAGTGTCTGGTTTACATTTTCCTAGAACAGTCCTAACACTCCTGCTCCATGCTACAAAAGTCCTAAATTAGTCATGTTGGCATGGGCAGTGTTTTTCAGTGTTTACTGTGCACTGGGGATGAATTCTTTCCAAACATTGACACATTTTTCTCTGCACTTGGTGCTTCGTTTAACAGCATCACAGCCACAGCTGCCAGCATTGGAGCTGCCGGGATCCCTCAGGCAGGGCTGGTCACTATGGTCATCGTGCTGACCTCTGTTGGGCTCCCCACGGACGACATCACTCTCATCATTGCTGTGGACTGGTTCCTGTGAGTATGAGCCAAGAGCATCTCATGGGCTTCCAGAGCCCCAGGCAGCAAACAGCACAACCACGTGTAGAAAGGCAGTCCAACCAAGGATTGCATGGCCCTTGTTCTCTGCTGCCCAGCCTATAGCTAGAGATCAAAGGCTTCATTCACAAAGTCGTAAGATGCCACAGGTCCTTACTTCCTTATCAGTCTATACAACATGGCTGGCTCTTATACTTTTCACTTAGAAAAGCAGTTTAGTGACCAGGAAACTGTTCTACATATCAGACTAAAATGTAGATCAGCACATTGTCCTATGACCCAACATCGCAGATCAGCAACTAAGCCACAAAAACATTAGTTTTCGCACTAGGGCTAGAGCATCATTCCGCCTTTTGTTTCCCATTTCAGTGGCATAATATGGTACACAGATGGTTTACATCTGAATTGAACGAGGAAAAGGACAGAAATACAGTTCGTGGGAAGATGACTGGAGCCGTTTGTCCCTAGGGTGCATTCTAGGGATAGAACTGCACCTCCCCATGCCCTCACCTCCCTACCCCTGAGGCCCATGTTTCCTCCTTTTCTCCTCCCCAGTTGAATTTTTCTTCTTCATTCCTTCTACAACTCTTCCCTCCTCTTCTCAGGATGGGCATGACCACCATGACGGGATGGGAATGTTCTGTACCATCTTGTGAACTGGGCCAAAGGTGTCTGCATTAAGCACAGCGAGGGCCTGGCTCATCTAGGTGCAGGCTTATTGATTAATTCAGTCTATCATAGTTATATGACTGACCAAATTATTGAAGACAGTTCCATAGATGAATGATCTGGAGAAATGAGCATAGCTGATAGATTAACCCAAGTGCTATCAGTAAAGGGAGGGAGAGACAGAGAGACAGACAGATAAAGAGAGATTCCAGCACTGAACAAGGGATGAATTGCTATAGAGAGCAGGGGGAATTTTTAAGTAAACATTTTATAAAGAATTTCACAGTATAAAAGAAAGTGAGAGTCATAAGAAAGGGAAAATAAGGAGGAATGCTAAGGCAAGAGAAAGTCTCCAAAAAAAAAAAAGGAAAGAAAGAATCCCCAAAACTACTTCCATTAAATAGCCTCTGGTCAATTATGAGTAATCTGAGGAAAACAGCTCCAGTTAGAAATACTTTACTTTCTCCTATTTTTTCCCTAATAGTCACAAAGATTTTTCCCTAAGCCACATTGAGAGGGGTATCATAAATAAATTAACCAGCTTTCTGAACAAGTTGGGAATCACAGTGAAATTCATTCATTGTCATTCATCCATTCATTCATTGACTAAACAAAAATTTATTCACTGCCTACATGTTAAGCATTGCTCTAATGGAAAAGCCTGCCCTGAAGTTTATTTATGGTTATCAGGAGCCCGACCCATACATAGATATGCCATGTTGTGTAAGTACATTAGAGTGTCAAAGTGGTATGAGAGGACCAACTAGGGGAATGATAAAAGACTTCATGAAGGAAGTGGCATTTGAGTTGTCCTATAATGAAGGGTAGGAACTCATAGGAGAAAGGGGAAGCAGGGCATTTAGGTAAGGGGAGAAGTGTGAATGAGGAGGGCAACAGATCAAAGTGAAAAAAACTCTTTCTGTGACCAAAGACAGGGAACATGCGTTGGGAGATGTTTTCAGGAATAGAGAAGAGCTGAAGGAGCCAATGTCACAGGCTGTTCGTCTTCCCAGCCCACCTGTTTTGTTATTGTTTAGTCATTTTCAGTTGTGTCTGACTCTTCGTGACCCCATTTGGGGTTTTCTTGGCAGAGATCCTGGATTGGTTTGCCATTTCCTTCTCCAGCTCATTTTACAGATGAGGAAAATGAGGAAAACAGGGTTGTGTGACTTGCCCAAGGTCACACAGCTAGTAAGTGTCTGAGGCCACATTTGAAAGCAGGAAGATGAGTGTTTCTGACTCCACATCCAGCACTCTATCCACTGTACCACCTAGCTTACCTATCTATTTTACTATCTGTGTAACTTTGGGCAAATGACTTAACTTGGCCTTCAGCAAGTATTTTAATCTCTCTGAGCCTTCATTTCCTTATCTATAAAATGAGAGCATTGAACTAAATGGCCTTTGAAGTCACTTTCAGATTTTGATCTATGATCCCATAATATACTTCTTGGAGCCTTGGTTTCTTCATCTGTTAAATGAACGGGGTGGAGACCATGGTTTTTAAAGCCCCTCCCAGCTCTACATTCTTTGATCCTGTGATACTAAATAGGAAACTTAATTCTCTTTGCTAAGGGTGGGGCATTGGGAGTAGGGGTGAGGGCCAAAGGAGAAATGAAAAGGTTGCACTAGGTGTTGTAAGTAAATGAGTAAGGGAGATGAGAAAAATAGACTAGAATGATTGCCTACCCAAATGACAGTCCACCTGGGGTTTTTGTTGATCAGTCATTTCAGTCGTGTCAGACTCATTGTGGCTTCATTTGGGATTTTCTTGGCAGAGATACTGGAGTGTTTTGCTGTTTCTCCTCCAGTTCATTTTATAGTTGATGAAACTGAGGCAAACAGGGTTAAGTGATTTGCCCAGGGTCACATAGCTAGTGAGTGTGTGAGGTTGGATTTAAACTTATGGAGACGAATCTTCTGTTTCCAAGCCCATTGTTCTATCCTCTTAGCCACCTAGCTATTGTGGTGGGTCATAAATTTAGGACAGTGAGAACATTTGAATTAAGGGCCAGCTATGTACAAGGCAAATGCTAGGCACTGAGGATACCAGGGACAAAAACAAAACAGACTCTGCCCACGTGCTTGATTTTGTAACTCTTTCTTGCATTGCTCAACAACCTTAGTCAAGCGTGGAGGATTCAAATGGTGGGGGCTGAGCAGGGCTGAGCAGGTTGGGTACAGCAGGGGAAAGTTAAGCGTTGTGCAAGAGATTCTAGGAAAGTGCCTGGTTAAAAAGAATATGAGAGTGGGCATATTGGCAGTGCAGTTGATTTCCTTTCTTTCTTCATCCCACAGGGATCGTCTTCGTACAACCACCAATGTTCTGGGAGACTCTCTTGGGGCAGGAATTGTTGAGCACTTATCACGACATGAGTTGAAGAACCGAGATACAGAAATGGGTAATTCTGTGATTGAAGAGAATGAAATGAAGAAACCCTATCAGCTCATCTCCCAGGAAAATGAGACCGAAAAACCCATTGACAGCGAAACCAAGATGTAGACTGGCACAATGAAATGTAACTTTTCCATCCAGTTGCATCTCATTTTCCAGAAATCCCTTATGTTGCTCTCTCTTCCTGATTGGATAGCATTGAAAAATGATCAACAAAATTTTGATGGGGCCAAAATGTATGATTGTCATTCTGTTTCTTAAAACAAAAGGAAAAAAAAATGAACAGTTATCTACTGGTCTTGCCTAGGTATGTGCAAAAAGAGCTCAGAAAGATTGTTGACCAAGTCAAGAGAAAATGCAAGCGTATATGACACACACAACCCTGTAAATGTGATCTTGTATTTTATAAGCTGAAAAGTCAAAATTAGGTAGAAGAGGCTGGAAATATCTATATTTTTTCTTAACTCCTATTTCAAAATTTCTCAACCCATAGAACGCAATCCAGTTTAGGTCCCAAAATATAGCTTAACTAAATATAACTGCAACCAGATAAAAGATAGGCAATCAGAATCTCTCTTTATCTGATTTGTGACTTCCTGTCTCATCTCACTAATAGCAGAACCTCCATCCAAGTGTACAGGAAAGGCTAGTTCAGGGGCTGTTGGCCACGAGATGTCTACCACCTTTGTGTCCCTTCCTGGCATTTTGCAATAAAAGGCATTTCTTAGAGGGGGATATTTGCAGGGAGAATATTTCTAAGGCAGAGATGGCAGGGTGGTAGCCCAGTCCTAGATCAGAAGCCTTCTTTTCCAAATTGGCAACCATACAAGGCACCAAGTAAGAGATCATTCCAGGAGTGAAACTTCACCAAATGCTTTGGACAGGGAAAGGAGAGGA